GCCACTATTTTTATTGTTACTAATCTTGGCATTCTTGTCGCGCGGGGGAACATGAAGGAGATTTGAATCAATGAGATCTTGAACACGATCTTTGAGGGCGAGACATGCTTCGATGGTGTGACCACGACCTCTATGGTATCGAAAATAAGAATTTGGGTCCCAATTAGGATACCGTTTTTCAGGCGGAGGGTCTTGACTGGGACCAATGGGGTGAATGAGACCTTAAACGTGAAGACAGTCAAAAGCTTAATTGTAAGTCATTCCTATTGGTGTGTATTCTTCAATGGTCCGTTTTGCCCGTTGTAGGGAATAATTTCAAGCCTTAAAAAATCTCACTAGCTTAAACCCCACTGTGATCATACACTAAAGTACGGTGGCGTCCAAAAGGGAAGAAGATAGAGCAAAAGAGTCGCCAACAAGTTTTTAAGGAACTTGTAAACCGTTCACGAGGTGAAGGTTACACCCCTTAACGATCCAAGAGATCGTCAACTCCATAAGGTCATGAACCAAATAAGGATTCGGGGATGATGGTACAAATCCAACCTAAAAGAGATTGAACTTGCCCTAATAATAGGCCTCTACTTTATTCTGCTCGTATTCATATGCGCTTTCCAATTAACATACAATCAATAGATTAACCCTAAACCTGTTTAATCTATGTTGATTGAATATAATGCACAAATAAACTATTATTGGCGATCACTTGAATTATAATCACAATTAACCTAACAAGATTATTAATTATCTTATTAAGCGTGATTGCAAGTACCAAATTCCTTTTAACATGCAATAAAAGGTGATCAAGCAATAACAATATAAAATATAATACATATCAAGCAACATAAATAAATAATCAACATCATTAATAATAATAATAATATCAATCATAATCATAATCATAATCATAATCATGATCATGTTAAAGCATAGCAAGATCCTAGGCATGATACTAACTAGAATAATAACAAACCCTAGCATGTCACTAAGCAATAAAAATCAAATCTTTAACCCTAACATGATACTAACAATCATAAATATTAGGAAGAACATAGGAAGCATCGTACTTTTAATCATACTTAATATTAAAGTTACCCTAAACATGATACTAGGAATATCATAATAACAATGTAAACATGATATCTATATAATAATATTAATTAATCCATTAAAGTACTTACTTGGATGCCTCGTACCTCTTTCTAATAACAAAATACACACGTTAGTAACTTCAAGGAAAAAATAATAATCATAACAATTAAATTAAATAATTGAAAGAGAGATCTGGGACCAAACCCTCAGAAATTAAAACCTTTCACGTCTAGGGCGAAGGCAACTTCGAATATGGCTAGGTGTTTCTAGATCTTGCGAATGCAGAATTTTGTATTAAAAAGCAAATTTTAGAATTGAACGCTAGAGAATTAATATTATTGAAAGTTGATGAATGAAGAGATGAGTGAAAAGGATTATTTGACTGTAGATGAATGCTAATTTGATGAATGAATATTGATAATTGGTGAATGAAGAGAGTCGATTAAAAATTAAGAATAAATCGAATTGGGTCTATCAAAACGGAGTTTTTAATACGATATTTATAGAGAAAATCATCCAAAAAAGATAATTTAACAAAATAGAGTCTGAAGATCGCAGAAACACAGGGCTGGCGCCAGCACCAGTGGCTAGCGCCAGGCGCTAGGCGCTGCCAATCCTGGTTCCAGGAGCCAAGGCCCGGGGTTGGACGCCAAAGCGGTTTTCCACGTGTTTTCGAAAATCTGATAAATTTTCCGTACTAGAAGATAAAATAATATAATTTCAATCGAAAATGCTATTTGATCTTGATTAAAACTCTGAAGAGTCCTAATTGAATTAGGAATGAAAAAGAACCTTCTAGAATTTTCTAGAAGACTAAAACCATTCCTAATTGCATTAGGAATGATAAATCATATTAGGCCCGTTCCTAGATCATTGGGCCGTACATAAAACTCAAACCGAGCCCAGTTTAGTAAATTGGCCATAATTTCCTCAATATTCATCGGAATTGGGCTTATAATATATCGTTGGAAAGGTCTTTGCAAGCCCCATCCAACTACACCACTATTGGACCCATATAATGGACTAACAAAACTGGATTGGCTGTTTTGTTTATAATAAAGTTTTCAAAAACAGGAAGAAGAGAAAATAAAAACTTTCCGCTACACTAGACCTTTCCACACTTTCGTTTAATTCGATTATAATTCGACGTGAAAGGCACTCATCACCGGGTTTGGTTTTGGGGAGACACAAATGGGTGTCTACAGAAGCCCCCACTTTGACTGAGTTTGGAGAAACGTAAGTTTCGAAAATGAAAGCCAAAGTATCGATAGGGACGGAGAATGATTCAGAACGTTATGCGATCCTAAATCAATCTTGTAATGCCGATACCTGCAAAACTAGCATTAGTTAAACAGACAAAAGAGTTAAGAAACGCGTATCTTGCACCGTCGAGCACACGTCTCTGAAAGTAACCGATTGTTGCTGTACTGTTGTTTTGATGACCTCTTGCAAGCTAGAGAATGCCATCCCGCTTGAAAACCGCTACGCCTTGTAACTGCTTCCAAATTAGAAGATTGCTTCGCCCAAAACTATCCTCCCCGCTATGATAACATTCCACGTCTAAGGGAATATCATCGAAAACTATTTCTCTTGAAATAATTCTCATCCGTATTATGATAACCTTCCATGCCTTAGGAACTATGATCGAAGACAACTTCGCCCGAAATTACCTTCAGCTGTTTATGACAACTTTCCGCAAGCTAGGGAATGATGCCGAAGACATTTTCTCTTGAAGTTATCCTCATTTGATGCGATAATTTTCCAAAGGAAAATACCGAAGATCCACGCCCGTCGATCTTTAAAAGTTCGCATGAACTTTGCTCTTGCTATGCCTGTACGTCGGCGCTCTTTCGCTTTGAACCTGTATGTCGGTGCCCTTTGTTCTTGAACCTATATGTCGGTGCCTTTTGCTCTTGAACCTATATGTCGGTGCCTTTTTCTTTTGAGCCAATGCTTAGGAGCTTTAAGCTAAGTGAGACGATCTTTTCATCAGGTCGATCACTTTATGTAATCAAGCCGATTACCTAATCATGTCAAATTGCTTAAAGGGGCTAACTGACGTACCAAGGAACCCAAAATATGTTGCAGAAGGCTAGCACAACCCCAGCAGGTGGCTGACTGCTTTGGCGTCGCTGAAAAACAATCAGCGCCAGACATATGGCATTAGCGCCAGGCGCTGGCATTGGCGTCAGACACCAAGCACAGAACATGACGCCAATGCCTAGGGACTGGCGCCAGCACGGAATCTTCTTTAAAATCCCGTTTTCGTTCATTTTCTTGCTCTGGTTTGTCGCGAACGCTGCTCGAAGAAACCGAAAGCTTCATTTGATCGTTGCTCACTCGTTTTTCAACTAAATTTGCTCAAATTTGTTGCAAATCAAAGCTCTTTTCATCTATATTCCCGATCTTTGTAAGTTTTCCTCAAACTCACACCGATTTTTATGAATTCTTGGCATGTTTATTCACGAATTTCATGAAAATTCGAAATATGTAATGCTCAATTTGCTTTGTTTATCAAGTTTTATGCCATGAAATTGCTTGTTTATGCTTGTATATTGCCTTAGGAGTAATTTGAGACTTGTTTGACTCAATTTGGTGAAGAAATGAGCAATCCACCATTGTTGGACCTCTTAAGGTTGGAAGAACAATGTGGCTTGTTCTTGATGTTTTTGCTAGCAATTCTTTTTCAATTTGTCACAATAATCACCATAGTGTTGCAAGAAATTGTTTGATTGCTTGAAAAAATACTGTCATGCTCAATTTGAATTTGTGCTCTGTTTTAGTACTACGTACTCTGTTTTTTGCGAACATAGTATCATGCGGCTAGGCAAACCTTAGATACTATAGAACCTCAATTTATGATGACTCTGCACAATGTAGCATGGCTAGACAACGAGGTTCAGGTTCACGGTCCCGAAACACTAGACGGGAGCATGAGCCCATGGAGGACGACACCACACCGTCCGCTTTGCTTGGTCGGTTCCCGGAGTGGGATGAGCAGACCTTGTTCTTTGCCCCTGTCCACCACATTTCTGAGAGGGTGAGACGGGGAACCGAGCTTGGGAGGACACGGCATCACGGCTTTGGCTGTGATGGTCTAGGCGATTTGTATAGGATGCATATTGCCAGAGACCGAGAGACGAGGCTCCTATGGGAGTCCTGCGGACTGGTTGCCTTGTTCGAGACCTCCGAGGCTATGGTCGCCTCCAGCGGGGGTCACCACGTAGTACGCGCTTTGGTGGAGTTCTTTTGGGACACCACCAACACCTTTCATTTTCCATGGGGTGAGATGATGGTCACTCCTACAGACTTCAGTCTCATCACAGGACTGGAGTTTACTTCTGTGCCGCTGCCGTTCGACGGCGGTATCGACGTCTTTTCTCCAAAGGTCGAGGAGTTGTTGGGGCCGATTGCTGTTCGAGCTCGAGTTGAGGTCGAGACAACTTAGTTCACTGCTAGAGGGATTCGCCGCTCGACGCTGGCAGCGACTCTTGATGACGATGCGACCACCCGAGGGCAGCGGGTGCGCATCTTTGTGCTGATGTTGTTGTCAGGGATATTCTCCCCTGACAGGGGTAGTATGGCGTTGCTTTACTACCTCCCTGCTGTTTGCGATCTCCGGCGGATCGGGACTTATGACTGGGCCAGCTTGGCCTACACTGACTTCGTTCGCGCGCTGAGGGACTCGTGTCGCCACCGGTCCTTTAGGACGAACGTTGCTTTGTCTGCTTTCTGGAAAGTCGTAGAGGTAAACATTATTCCCTATAAAGTTTAGCCCTACATGTTAGTTAGCATTTACTCACGCTTTTAACTTTTTGTAGATTTGGTTCTACGAGTACTTTCCTTCCATTGCGCCGGCGAGACCATCGCCGAGGGGGTATCTGGTGAGCGCCTCTTGGGGCGGCCACCATGTGGACCTGTCTACTGCACGTGTCCGGAGTCGGATCATCTCGGTACGACTTTTAGTGTTTATCTTGCTCTTCTGCGATGTTTTGGACATGTTCTTACCCGATTGGTGTCTTTTATAGGGACCTGAGGTAGTATACCGACCATAGGGTGGTTGGAAAGTCCCTGGATTAGCCGCACAGTACTCTGCTGAGCGCCGCTACTTTCTGGGGACCTATGGAGCGGTTGTATATTAAGGGGAGAGAGTTGATATCCAGCACTCTTCTGATGTTTTCGTTGTTCCTGCTTCCCCACCACGTCACATATTCGACGAGAGAGAGTTGTCGAGCATGGCTGAGGAGTCTGGTTCCCTCTGGCGGTCCCATGTGATCCTTGAGCGGAGTTATGCTGAGGAGCTACTTCCTTTGTTAGCTCCAGCCCCTGTGCCGGCCGAGGATGTGAGGGTAAGATCTTTAGCTTTTTATTTTTCGCTAAGTAGCCCCCAAGTAATACCTTGCTGATTTCTTCCCGTCTTATCAGGATGGTCCTACTGAGTTCGCGCCACCCTGTATGTCCATCCACTACCAGGCGACGTACGGGCCGATCGAGGAGATGATTTCTCCGGCTCCTGAGGGCGAGCTCTTTGTGGAGCGGTCGATTCCTCGTCACCAGACTAGGGTAAGTCTAGTTTTAATTCAGAATCTTGTATTCAGTCATCATGCATTTTCACTGACTTATTTTCATGACAGTTCTCACGCGAGGTGGTTTCGGCTATGGCACGATGCATAGATGCCTTCCGGAGCCAGCTCGTTCGGATGAGGAACGCGGCTACCTGTCGTCGAGATGACGCTGTCTGAGAGGTAACTTTTCTTCACTTATTATTTCTGCATTATGCTTCAGTTTTACCTTGTTTCTGATTTAATTCTTTTTGCAGGGTCAGCCGATCGCTTCTCACACCCGTACGAGGCCTGAGGGGCGGAGAGATCCGGCGAGGTCTAGCTCGAGACGTTGTCGCACTTCGTCAAGAGGTAGAGGTGGCCGTTCCGAGGCTGCTCGAGCCGATGTTTTTGAGGGCTCTAGGTCTTCTTCTGAGGGTGCTCCTACTGCATCGGTAGGAGAGGCTACCTCGGCTTTCGGAGGTGGTGGGATGTACGAGGTTGGCTTGTCATCGCAGTAGCCTCCGCGGTCTCAGCCTCAGATTGACCTTGGTTGGAGCGGTCTTGTTTTGAGTTTTCCTCCTCCTACGGAGACTGGAGCTGGTGCTGAGGCCGGAGCTGGTGGAGAGGTGACTCCTCGGACGGCGCAGTTTTATGGCATGAAGGGCCTACGTCCTCCGGCGCCGTAGTTTGTTTCCGTACGTATTTTATTTTGACTTTTTATAGAACTTTGCCTTTGACTCATTATTTAGACACTTTGTACTTTATGTTATTGTAAAATCATTATTATCTATTATTATGTTAGTGTATGTTAGTGTGTGCAAATGTGATAACAATTTTTGCGCAAAAATTTCGTCATTTTTATTATTGATGGAGGGTATTGTCCTACTCTCTCCCCCAAAAAGAAAAAATAAAAGGAAAAATAAAACGGAGAAAAAAGCTGATTTTTTGAAAATTAATAAAAAAATCTAAAAAAAGAAATAAAAATTAACTAAAAATAATTGCTATATTTAATTAATTAAGAAAAGGATAGAAAAAATATTTAAAACGGGGCCATAAAGTCATTAACCGACTCCAATTTAATATCAAAACGCAAACTAAGCACGCGCGGCCACCCTGCTGACTTGGCGCCAGCTGACGCCAGCCTGTGGCACGTGGCGTCAGGCGCTACACCTAGCGTGTGGCGCCAAAAGCTGATGGGTGACGCCAATGTCGGGTGTGTGACGCCAATCGACGCTGACTCCGTATTTCATTCAGATTGAAATTCCTCGCAATTTGTGCATCAATATCCCCCTGCTCAGCTGATTCTTCTCATAATTTCATCGAAAAAAAATATTCTTCTCTGTATAAAAAATAATAATCATGTCTTTAGCCACTAAAACCTTCAGCCAACATTCTCATGAATGGTGTCGATCTCTTAATGCTAGAGAAAGAAAAGAATTGGATTTATTTCACTTGGGGGGAATTTATGGCATCAAAGGGGTAGATTTAGACATAGACTTCATACATACCGCTTTTGAATTTTGGAACATTGATACACATTGTTTTAGAATAGGGTATGATGAGATTAGCCCTTTGCTAGAGGAATTTGGTGCTATTTTAGGCTTCCCTGCAATAGACCTGGTAGTAATCCCTAGAGTAGATGCATATTACTATAAGGATTTTGAGCACTTCTTCAACTTGAAGGAAAGGGATTTATCAAAAATAGTAGATGGCAATGTAGTGAACTTAAAAGAATTCGCACGCTATTATTTTGATAATCCGCTTTCTGAATCTTTTCACATATATAGAAGAAGGGCGTTCTTATTCTGCATGCTTAATTAATATTGTCTTAGTAGTGGTAAAATTAACGAGGGTCAATCAATTATAACCACTGTGCTAGAACAAATTGAATCAGGGAGAAATCCAATGCCATTGATAGTTGGAGAGACTATGATTAGTCTAGATGAATTGAAAAGGGAACCAAAAGCACCTCTTCGCAGTTCTCCAATTTTATTACAGGTGGAAAAATAATATTTTTAATTACAGAAATCAAAAAATATATTTTTGTATTGTAATATTAATTTATTTACATTGCAATTTTTTTTTTAGATGTGCCTAATGGAGAGGCTAGGACTAATTAGCCCTCCGGAAGACATTGAAAATTATACGCCCACTTGCTTTGTGAGAAGGAAGAAGCGCATCCCTAAAATTGGGCGCCATGGGTGGAGAAAAGTCTTTGAATCACGTGATTTTGCTATCAAGTGGGTCATCCCATGGTGGAAAATAAAAAGGATGGTTGGTGTTAACAAGCAACCTTTCTGCCGTCTCCCAAGCTTGTCTCGCGTGACATATTATTATCCCTGCAGGGTGAAAAGACAATATGGCTGGCTTCAAAATATTCCTTCCGGGGATCTTCGTCCTCCCTATGAGTATCCCGTATCTCAAGAAGTGGATAAATTTGACACTTACTGGAGCGCTAGACCTTTATGGGAAGTGATTACCCAAAAGGTTCCCCCTTCTTTACATAATGATGTAAAGAAGTGGTTGTTGAAGAAGTCTTCAATTGATCAGGGTAGAACCGATGTGAAGAATCGTCTAGGTGATAGGGTGACACCGGCCAAATAACGCTTAGGTGCAAGAATTGAGTTCAAAACACCTACAATGCCTAAGAAGAAGAATACTACTAAAGACAAGGGGAAAAGGAAAGCTAAAAACAAAAAGGTTTGGGTGGAAAAGAAGCATGGGGTGCTAGCCGAAGGAGGAACAATCTATTCCAAAATTGAATGTAGGTCTTCTAAAGGATGCCTACTGATTAGGGGATTTTTATCCACCAATCACCGTCTGACAAGTGGACCAACCAGGTTCCGCCACGTGTCCTTCACGTAGGCCAATAGGAGCCTGCCACGTGTCAATCATAGATACGTCCTCTACGGACCAATTGAGACACGCCACGTGTCCACCCATGCCAAATGGGAAAACCGGCCAACAAGGCCCAATCCTGTTTAGAGGCCCGGTCAGCCCTAGGTTTACCCTAAACCTAGAGAGTGGCACGCTTCTCAAGACTATAAATACTTAATTAATCCTCATTAAAGGGGATTCAGCAATTAATGACTCTCACCTAGAGAAGTCTAAACACATTGATCACTCCTCCCCTAGAGGAACCAGATCTTCCCCCTTTAATTTCCGCACTTATTACTCCTTAATCAAGTACTAACTTGACCGTTGGAGGCGGAGCTCCCAGGAGTCTCCGTTATTTTGCAGGTACAGGCGTCCGGTTCCAGTCTCGGTGTTGTAACTCTCCCACAGGACATCAGAAAACCCCGAAACATTTTGGCGCCGTCTGTGGGGAGAGTACTTCAGAGATGGCATCCAAGTCTGTACCGACTCCTGAAGAGAGGCGTCCCGTAGACAACCCTCAAGTTCAGTCGGACCATGATACCGAAAGTGAATTCGAAGTTGAAGCTCATACAGCTTCAGACGGGACCCTAAGGGCCCGACGTACCCGTCATACCGAAAGGAGGGAACGGGTGCATCTTCAAACAGGAAGCGAGCCAGCAGGCGCACCGCCTGTTCGGCAACAGCCGAGTGATGGGTCTGCTCCCATCACAAGGAACGAACTCATGACCTTCATGAGGGACTTCAAGGGAGAGATTCAAGAGTTGATCAACAAGAAGCCGCCTGCTTCAGTCAAGGAGCAGTCGGCCAAGAAACCCTCCACTTCACTGAAGAGGAAGCCAGTTCAAGGGCGAGAGGCGACTCCTCATCCTAAATCTAGGAAGCGGGAGCCACCTGCCCTTGATTTCAAAAAATTCCGTTATCCTACAGGAAATAGGAAACCGGTTCGTCATATTCAGGCGGACGGGTCAAAACAAACATTCACAGATGCTCGGCTACTGCTAGAGCAGAAGAAGAGTGACCGATTGTCTGAGTCGGCTTCTACTTCAAACTTTCAAGACAGTTTGCGAAATGCCTCGATGAGGCATACTCAGTCGTACCATGAGAGTCAGTTAGGCGGCACCTCCCGTCAGTCCGGCTTTCATAGTGCCCAGGCGGTACCAAACTTACCATTTGTGCCGCAACAACAGTATTTTATGCAGCCACCTCCATTTGGTGGACCTACAGCAAAAAACGTCCAACCTATGGACTGGCAGCTACGGTATCTAAGACTTGGTGAACAGCCGTCGGCCTTCTCCAAGGAAATTACTGAAGCCGCTCAGCCGGCCAAAGTGAAAAATGTACTAGTAGGCGCCTATGACGGCACTACTAACCCAGAAGACCATCTGATGGCATTCACCAACCTGATGTACCTTCAAGGGTTGGATGATCCCACTTGGTGCAAGTGTTTCCCAGCGACTCTCAAAGGAATCGCACAGCAATGGTTCGGCAACCTGCCGACTGGTATTGTAAATAGCTTCAGGACGCTTGCTTACTTATTTGCCTCCAACTTCGCCATGAACATCCTTGCGAAGAAAACGACCCTTGATTTGGGAACAATTCAGCAGGGCGAGAAGGAGGGGCTTCGTTCTTACATCAGGCGGTTTAACCTGATGAGAATACAGATTCAAGGGTTACCGGATGAGGTAGCTTATACCGACTTTTTTAGAGGTCTCAAAGACGGGTCTACCTTCAAATTTGATTTGGTTCGAAAAAGGGTGGCGACTCTTCAAGAGGCCTTGATTGAAGCAGAAGCCTATATACAGGCGACTGATCTGTGTACGATAAAACAGTTGGACGGGAAAAGGTTCGACAAAAGAGAAGGACGACAGAAACAGTCGTCAAACAAAGATGAGAAAAGAAAAGAGGTCTGGGCGGCTGATTCCTCTAAACAGCCGGCCCAGAAAAAGAAAAAAGAATTCAAACCATACTCTCCAAAGTATGCGTTTAACAAGGATAACCAGTTTATCCTAAAAGAAATCAAGGGACGGATCTCAATTGAGAAGCCGGTCCCCATGAAGGGTTCTGCAAACAACCGGAACCAAGATAAAATTTGTGCTTATCATGATGACG